CTATGTTCTTTTCTTCTGCCTCTCTCTCCTCCTGTAGGACCAAACATTCCTCCGTTCCTCAAGTCACTTATGATAATTTTCTTGATCAGCCTGTTTGCACACAAATTGGGAATATTTAAATATTTGTCAACAGCACTAGCCCATACTGGCTATGAAAATTCCCTAAATAATAGCCAGTCTCTCCAGTGAACCTTGTGAGGTTGGAGAATTCATAAATTGTCTTAGGAGGAATGCTATGTACAGGAGACAAAGTGGATAGATGAATTTAAAGCCTGAGCTGTTGGTGACATACTCTCTATCCAAGTCAGAGTCTACCACAGAGTCCATGGAAAAGCAACCACCCTCTTCCCTTTCCTCCAAGCATTTGTGTTCTGTAAAGGCAGAAACAGCCAAGTTTCCCATGACCCCCATGTGCTTCTAGTCTGCTACAAGATGCCTTTCCTTAACTCAGTGTAAATGACCTCATGAATTTCTGGTGGTCAGTGATTGCCAAGGTGATGCCAAGGCCAGGCTAATGAACTTCCAAAATGGTGAGCTAATGAGGAGAAGGGGAAGCTCTTATACTCTTCTTTTATTCTTTTCTGTCAGAAATTTATTTCATTTATTCTTACAACATTTTAAGATGCATTTTGGTCCCATCTACAAATGAAGAAACTAGCTCAGAATAGCATGCAAAATCAAACAGCTCTAAGCAGTGACAACATAATACAGATAAAACTTTAAAAGTTTAGTTTAGGCAAACCTAGATGTTCATTCAATTAGAATTTCAGTTTCATTGATCATTCAGCATAAGGTAATTCAAGAAACTTTTAAAGAGTGACACCTCTCCTTATTTTAATTAGTCTTGAGTGTCCACATCTATTTATTCATTTCACACAGTGAGTAGCATTTTGAAACACTTTAAACTCACAATGATTGATATTAGATCAGGAATGAAAGGAATGAACATTAATCATTTTCTATTCCAGTTATATGGAAATCCCTTTCATTTTTTAAAATAATTAAAAAAAGAAGATGAGCAGACAGAGGTAAGATGGTGGATTGCTGATAGCTTCAAAACCCAGCATTCTTATATACCTGAATAAAGATGGAAACTGAAGTCCCTGGAAGACCCACTCATGGTCTGAGTGTCAGTGAGTAACAGAGCTCTACTTAAACCAACAAAGTGAAGCAATGGAATTCATGGAGACAGGGTTTGGAAGTGTGCAATCCCTGAAATCTTCACCCTAAGAACTGCATGGGTCCATAGCATGTGAATTGCTGAGAAAAGCTGCTGGGATCTGGGGAACAGAAGCTGAACCACAGTGTGTAGTTGCCTTTGAACAAAGACCTTTCCAGGAAAGCATGTACCATACTCCCTGGAGGCCACATAACTCACTCCCTAGAGCTCACAAACCCATCTTCAGTAGTAGTGAAGGTCTTTGGGGATAGGTAACCATTAGGGAAAACTTACTGAGACCAGGCCACAGCCCACAGATGTGTGTGGCCTAAGAATTTACTTAGTGCACATCAAGGTAGCAGAGATGGCACTACCAACCCTACTAGAGAACACCACCAGTAACAAAATCTGGACAAAACTCCTTATTCATATATAGCTATAGACTATATGTTCTAGGGACTTGAGAGAGGGAAAAATTACAACTATGGAAGGGATGATACTGGCAAGTTGACAGTATAAGCTCCAGAGATCTTAGATCTCCAAACACCTATTCTTCCTACCATCAGGCACCATTCCTAAGGTAAGTATCTGATTAGCCTGCCATCTAGTAGACTCAGACACAAGGTTGGGGAGAAGATCAGCAGCTCAGAAGAGCAATAGAAAATTCACAATTTTCATGTAAAATTTGTGTTTGTTGATGCTAAATTTGTGATACAAGATTTTGGTCATTTGTTCATAGATTCTTTTCCTGCACACTCCAAATATAGTTTTGCATTCTTGCTCCCCAATTTCCTTTCTCCTGTCTATCATCCATAATCCTCCTTTAACACCAATATTTTTAATGGACCAAAAGATTACCAGATTTTTTTTCCTTTTCCTTTTTTTTTCAATTCTGTGGTGCTTCCATCTGTCTGACTGTTCAATTTTCTCTATTATTCTCTTCCCCATTTCTCCGATCTTAATACCTACTTGATCCTTTCTGCATATTCCAGCTGCTTCTCAATTAGCTCAGCCACCCCTAATTTGTGATGCGTAAACTTTTTACCTCATAATATCTACTAGAGCTAATCCACTGTCTCCCTCCCATCACAGTGCTTACTACCTTTAGTTTCCCAGAATCACAAAGATTCATCTTTGCTCCAAAAGACAACTAAGAAACTGGAATAGTACCAGTAATTGATGCTCATTGGTGATTACTGTAATTTCAAGATTACAGTTTAACAACTGTGCAAGCTTTAACAACTAAACCTCTGTACCCTGTGTGGAATAAGGGGATATAACCCAGCATCTTGAGAACAAGAAGCTGAAAGGTTTACTATTGAGCCACTACCCCTGCATAATCTAGAGACAAGAAAACACATCAGAGCTCAACTACCACACAATTCTGTTTAATCTTTCTTAAAATTCCAACAGAAGGAACACAGGGTCTGGAACCTTCAACCAAAAATGATCCAGATGCATAAATCTCAATGCAGAAACATGAAGCAACAAGACAACAGCTTTCTCTAAAAAGCCAACTCCACCTCAAAGTTTCTAAACAAAAGTAAAGAGAAGGAAATATCAAATATTTAATTCCAAAAAATAATAGTAAGAATGATCTTTGAGCTCAAAGAGGAGACACATAAGCTAGTGACCAAACTAAAAGAGGATATGAATAAACAAGTAAAAGAGTTCTAAGAGAATTCAAACAAACAGAAGAAGTAAATTAAGAAGACCATTCAGGATATGAAAGAGGAAAACATCCATAGAGATATTAACCACCTCAATAGATCTATAACAAGTGATGAGAGTGAAGCAGTAATAAAGAGTCCCCCAACAAAGAAGAGTCCAGGACCTGATGGATTTACAACTGATTTCTACTAGACCTTTAAAGAACTAATACCAATACTCCTCAAATTTTTCTAGGAAATGGAGAAGGATAAAACATCACCAAACTCATTTTACTCATTTCAAAATCCAACAAAGAGGCAATAAAAAAGGAGAATTATAGAATATTATTAATGGACATAAATTCAAAAATTCTCAACAAAATATTGGCAAACCAAATTCAGCAACACATCAAAAAGATCATACACCATGACCAAGTGGGCTTCATTCCAGTGATGTAAGGATGGTTCAGCCTATGCAAATCTATAAATGTAAAACAACAAGTAACAAGCAAAGACAAAAAGCACCTGATCATCTTAATAGATGCAGAAAAATCCTTTGACAAAATTCAGCACCGTTTCATGACAAAAGCAGTGATGAAACTAAGAATGCAAGGGATGTTCCTCAACATAATAAAGGCTATTTATGATAAACTTATAGTCAACATTGTACTAAACGGAGAACAACAAAACCATTCCCCTAAAGTCAAGAATGAGAGAAGGATATCCACTTTTTCTGTTCTTACTCAATGTAGTTTTGGAATTCCTAGTAAAAGCAATATGACAAGCACAAGAAATAAAAGGGACTCAAATGTGGAAGGAAGAATTCAAAGTACTCCTATTTGCAGATGACATGGTCCTAGAGCTAAGAGACCCTAAAAACTCCACCAAAAAACTCTTAGAAGTCATAATCACTTTTGGCAAAGTAGCAGGATACAGAAATCAATATATAGAAATAAATGTCCTTTGTATATAGCTACAAGGAACAGACTAAGAAAGAAATATGATCAAATGATATTTGATCATTTAAAAGATTTGAAATTACTGAATATATTAGACAGGATAATATTTGTTTTACAGAAAATAATTAACTATTTATAAATATGTTGTACTTTTATGTGCAAGTATGCTTTTCATTTAAAACATTTAAAATGTTAAGTATATTAAATTAATATTTCAAGCCTAAGAAAGTTTGACTCTATTATGCTGTTAAATGTTCATGGAAACTTGATCCATTATTTATTTCTTTGATTTCTTGGGGCCTAGTAGGCCTCAGGAATTTATTTGACCACTTTTGGGTTCTTGTAGGAAAAACTCTTTAAAATGAATTTCAATAAAGTGACTAAGAAAAAATTGCCTAATAAGGTATCAAAATGGACAAAACTGATAATTATAGCCAAAGTAAAAGGACCTAATACCCAGCAGGGTCAGTGCCACGACTGGGCACACTTTGGTAGTCCAAATTTGACACATAGGGTCTTGGAAAAAATATGTGGAAATTTTCTTTTTTGTATGAAGCATATACTTATAAAAAAAGAGTATTTGCAAGTATTTCTCAAGACAGCCACAATTTTCCCATCTTCTGACTCCACCTCTGACTCCTCATGATCATTTCAGGCTGGTTTCCCTCTTATCTCTCTGGCCAACTCTTCCAGAGAGGGAAATTAGTTCACCCAATTTCATGGAGTTCTGATCCTTGAGTGAATGTAAGAGAGACCTAAGAAGGGTGGTTACCTTTCCCATATGTGCCTCACAGTCCAGTACAGATGCAGTATGATTTCTTGTTCCTTGAAGGGCTGAAAAACACTGGCTGATAAATATCAGCTAGTGACTTTCCATATGTGTGAGGACTTTATTCACTCCCACCCCAGCAATGTCTACAACATGGCAGTTATCATGTCTCACAACCTGTAGATAAATCAATTTTGGGTGCTAACAGTCAGAAAGAAAAAAAATTCAAATCAGACAGGCAGGATTAGATAAATGTTGAGGAAATATATTTTATTTGTTTTCAGAAAGCATAAAAAATGTAGTGCTTTTGCTTCGTAGTCTATGTACTTCTCTGCAGTTAAGTATGAATGGGAAGGCAAAACAGATTAGAAGTGATGTGTCCAATCATGAGTATCTAAGATGTAGCTCATTTCTCTATCCAACTGTAGGGGTTTCCAGTACAAGTCGTGTCAAAGGCTTCCATGTTAATATTCATCAGAAAATGGATAATTAGGGTTGCCAATAAAACTAAAAAGAAAAAGAATAATGCATAATAAATTGTATGACTGTTTCTAATAGAAGTAATTTCTAAAAGTTCCTTCAAAGGTCAAAATTTAAAATTTCATTTCCCAGGTTATAAAATCTTGCAATCTTACTTTTATAATCATGAGTTTATAATAGATTTCAAAAATAATAAGCGAATCATTCAGGTTATATTCGTTTGAGACTTAACACAAAGAAAATATAAATATTCAAACATACATCTATTGAAAATGCAAAGAGAAAACTATTCTTTTTAATAACAAATTGTCCATGAAAACAAAGTGATATGTCTAGCTTTGAGAAGTGACAAGTCAGGTAACATACTCAGGCTGACAAATACTTTGGGAAGTTACAAATTACTGGTAACAATTTCATCTCAATTTTCCAAGTTAATTATTTGCTAGCTGCCCACAATATGCACCATACTATTTTAGAATCAGAAATAAAATGTCATGTGTATGATTAAACTCCATATCCAAGGAGCTTACTGTAAAAGATTTCCATGAAGTAAAGCCACCCAAACTATAAAGGGATAAAATAATTATTAAAAAATTAATAGGGGTAACATTAACCAATTATGTGGGCCCCTGTCTCTTTCCATTGTGTCCTTGTTTTATTTCTTTTTCATTTTTTATACTAACGAAAGTATTAGCAACCATAAAAATATATCTATTAGTTTTATTAATGCAATTTTGCAGTATGCTAATCCATTTTCATTCATTATCACACTTATTTCCATTTTGAATTAAGTTTTTCACTGAGAGAGGGAATATATATATATATATATATATATATATATATATGTATATACACACATATACATATATTCCTTGTTTACCCTCAGTTTTAATTTATGTCCAATCTTAAATTCTATAGCCTCATATATAGCATGAAGGAAGTTCTCTTGTTGCCTATAAATTCTCTATGACAACAGGACTCTCTCCTAAATACTATTGACCTTATTTTTAATCTTCTCTATAACTTCATCCTCTGTGCTGAGGTCTCCATATTTCAGAAAATCAATGCCAAGTGTTTGATCCACCATGTTAATCCTTCTGTTCTCAAGATGAACGATATGTTTGGGCTCTGAGCAAATAACCAGTAAAAATAAAGCAAAAATTATGAAATTTTCAAAGATATTAAATTGCCTGAATCCAATGAACAATGTCAGATGGAAGATATGACGTGGACCATATGGTTGATGGTTATGTCTTAATGTGTTAAGGAATTAAAACAGGTATTGGAAAAGATAATGTAAAGTTGATTATTTTAGTTAAGCCAAGCATGGTATCTCACACCTACAGAGGATGACATTAGTAGGATAACAGTTTGAGGCTAGCCTCAAAACTGGGCAAAACTAATATAAAAGCTGAGTGAGGTAGCATGTGCTGGTCATGACAGCTATGTAGGAAGCATAAGTAGAGGGATTGAGGTCCAGACTGTTCCAGGCATAAATGTGAGATGTTATTTGCAATTTAATGAAAGCTAAAAGAGCTGGAGGCATGAATCAAGTGGTAAAGCACCTGCCTGGCAAGTGCAAGGCCCAGATTTCAAGCCTCAATATGAAATAAATAAATAAATAAATACAATTTTTGAATAGAGAAATTGAAATACCAGGGGTGTATATGAACAGCATGCACATGAAATTCAGAGGCTTAAAGGGAGGATGTGGATTCACCAACAATATTGTCTTATTCAGTACATTTCATGAAACAAGTGCAGAGGAGTACTTGCAACACACCATTCACCCTGTGGCTGTGACAAGGAACAGAACTCTTAAAGAATCTACAATGAGAGGTGCAGAAAGCTCTTGTTTCATCCCTGACACATTATCCACTACACTTCTCATACTGAGGTAACTTTTTATATATGTTATATTCTTCCTCAGAAAAGAGAGAAAAAATTTACCAGTTACTTACTCATTAAAGGGAATGTATCGATAATTTCTGTTCAGGCCATCAAGAACTTTCATATCCTCTGAAGTCAACTGGAATTCTAAAACCTAAAACACAAATTTAAAATTTTTTAAGATATTTAGATTGCATTTTTTTCCAACATGGAAATTCAAGATATATAAATATATTCAAAAATTATAAATATAATACTTGAAATATTTGATAAGCTCCAAAATTTAACATTAAGGAAAAAAATAATGAGAATAATAAATACCAGGTGTATAATGAATAGAAATCAATTTCCATATATAGTACATTGAAACTGCATGTTACAAATGGAAGGAGAGTTGAAAAAGAACTGAGAAAGAAACAAAGCTGACAATTCAAAGGAGATTTTGGGTGTAGTGTAAACACTAAAAACCCGAGCCAAATTTTTGAAATGTATAACAAAGTTCAGCAATTTTCATGGACACAGTTTTATTTCTGTGTCTCAATAATAAATTATTGGAGTGTGAAAATATCATGTTCAGCATAATCTAAGTTAGGACTATATTAATAGTCATAAGAACTGGCTTGAAGATGATCAATCTCACTGTATAAATTTTGGCCAGTGCAATCATCAAAACAATGACTTCTAATTATTAACATACTGAAACAAACATGTCCACAAATTCTGAAAAAGGGATAGAAATAGAGTTTAAAAATTCAATAATTTAACAATTATTGGATTGACATAACAGACATATACTGCAAAATTCTATAAACTTACTGTACATTTGAAATTTCTCAAAACAAAACAGAAAAATAACAAAAAATCAAACATCAATTTTTTATGAATAAATCAAATAGAAAATATACAAATTCCTTAATAGGAAAATCATAGAATTTAGTGTAATATACTAAAAACCCACCTAACCATTGAAAAATCATATTTCGATCATGGATTGGAAGTCTCAGTAATTGTAAAGCCAATAGTTTCCAAAATATTAAGCAATTCCAATGAAATATAAAATGAATATTTAAACATTTAGTGTAAGTGGCAGCTGGAAAAATGATTCTCATTTTATGTAACAAAAGATTCAGTGAAGAATAACAAAGATATTTTTAAATAAGAGTAGGCATTAGGAGAATTATCATTCTGGAGAGCAAGACTTATTTCCAATATATTTTAAACAGTAGAGAAATGTAAATATGTCAACTGACTATAGTAGTAAGATAAAAATTTACTCATTGATCAGAAATTTTGTTATGCATCTAAAAATAATTATATATGTGTGTGTGTATGTGTGTGTGTGTGATTGGATGCATAATTCACATCACATTAAGAGTGATTCTCATTGAACTTAAAGCCAACTGGAAAGAACAGTTGATAAAAGTTTGAAAGATAATGTAGAAGTGTATTGATGATGTCCACATAGGAAAACATGACATTCATCAGTCACAAAAGAAAGCCAGTAGGATTTGACTATATTCAAAGGAATTGCTATTCATGACAGTATTTAATGCAAAAAAAAAAAAAAAAAAAAAAAAAAAACCACAGTGTTTTGGAGAGGTGTTGCTAAAAATACATCTGAGACCAAGGAATATTCAGAATACAAAAATATGTTAGCTTGACTATAAAAATGCTGTGCAACACTTCACATCTTCTCATCTCCACACTCTCTGTTTTGTGAATTTATAGCTTATCCCATTAAGAAGTGGAAGAAGCTACTCTCATACCCACTTTCTCTTCTCTGGCCTACAATGTTCATTTGCCAATATAATTTGGCCATGCCCTGATCATTACCTGTATGTTTTCTTTGATCCGCTTCTCATTGAAACTCTTGGCCAGGACCACAAATCCACGTTGCAGCTGGTAGCGAAGGGAAATAAGCCCTGGAGTTCGCTTGTACTTTTTTGCCATGGCACAAAGAACTGGATCATCCAACAGAACTGGGGCATTGTGGTCCACCCTGGAAGAAAAGGAAAAAATGCTCAATTCCTGAACCTATGTATTTGGGTTGTTAAGAGACTTCCAATACAAATCAAAGTGCTCTCTTAGACGAAGGCCTCCTAAATGTGGTCCCTGAACCAGAAAAATAAAAACATTATCATCTAATGTACTCTCCAAAATGCAACTTTTTCCTTATTCCAGATCAGTTGAGAATAAACTCCATAGAATTTAGTATTTAAGACAAAAAATATTTAATTAGCAATTGTTTCTTATGTATTATTCTCATAATTACCATCCTTTTACACGCTGAGTTCCCAAAGAACCATAAGCAACCAACACGATGCCTTTTGACTTGCAAAAATCCAGCAATTTACTCTGGTTCATATAAGGATGACATTCTACCTATAGATGGACAAGACAGAAAAATGTCAGAAGACATAAAGTGTCATACTAAGATGAAAAAGAAAACTTAAAAGTAAAAGAAGCAAAATTTGAAAAAACATGTGCAACAAGAAATTTGAATTGAAAACATCCATGTCAATGACTTGACATTGTAATGATTACATTTTAAAAATATCTTTAATATTCATGCTTCTGGGAAGAGTAAAATAAATATTTCTAAGCAGAGCCAGGCAAGTGCACAAGATCTTGAATGAAAAATATCTGTTTCCATTATGAGAAGACATAAACTCCACAGGTAAGAAAGGGAATAAACTCATGAAGCTTTGAATATTGAATTGCACAATAAGATAAGAATTTCATCAAATACTCATAAAATAAAGTTTAAAGGATAAAAGAACTAGTTTGGTAGAATTCTCACTATTGACATTTGGGCAATTACTATAATACAAAAACCTGATAAAAACATGATAACAAAAATAAAGAAAATTATAGACCCACTTCCTTGATGAACATAGATGCAAAACTTCTCACTAAAATACTTGCAAAAATCTACGTTTAATGAAATTCCCATCAAAATTCTAATGACATTCATCACAGAGATTGAAAAATCTACCCTAAAGTTCATTTGGAAACACAAGAGACCACAAATAGCTAAGGCAATACTCAGCAAAAAGAGCAATGCTGGAGGTATAACAATACCCAACTTCAAATTATATTACAAAGGAATAGCAATAAAAACAGCATGCTACTGGCTCGAAAATAGACATGAAGCCCAGTGGAACAGAGTAGAGGACCCAGATATGAATCCACACAACTATAACCACCTCATTTTTGACAAAGCTGCCAAAAATATAAGATGGAGAAAAGACAGCCTCTTCTGGTAAATGGATGGAATTGGAGAACATCATTCTGAGTGAGGTTAGCCTGGCCCAAAAGACCAAAAATCGTATGTTCTCCCTCATATGTGGACATTAGATCAAGGGCAAACACAACAAGGGGATTGGACTATGAGCACATGATAAAAGCGAGAGCACACAAGGGAGGGGTGAGGATAGGTAAGACACCTAAAAAACTAGCTAGCATTTGTTGCCCTTAACGCAGAGAAACTAAAGCAGATACCTTAAAGCAACTGAGGCCAATAGGAAAAGGGAAACAGGTACTAGAGAAAAGGTTAGATGAAAAAGAATTAACCTAGAAGGTAACACCCACGCACAGGAAATCAATGTGAGTCAACTCCCTGTATAGCTATCCTTATCTCAACCAGCAAAAACCCTTGTTCCTTCCTATTATTGCTTATACTCTCTCTACAACAAAATTAGAAATAAGGGCAAAATAGTTTCTGCTGGGTATTGGTGGGGGGAGAGGGAGGGGGAAGAGTGGGTGGTAAGGGAGGGGGTGGGGGCAGGGGGGAGAAATGAACCAAGCCTTGTATGCACATATGAATAATAAAAGAAAAATGAAAAAAAAATGTTGCTGGGAAAAGTGGTTATCCGACTTCAAGAAACTGATACTAGATCCATGTCTATCACCCTATATTAGTATCAATTCAAAATGGAGCAAGGACCTTAATATCAGACCAAAACTCTGAAGTTACTACTGGAAGGAGCAGGAAACACTCTGGAACAAATAGGTATAGGCAAGGACTTCCTCAATAGAACCCCAGCAGTCCAGCAACTAAAAGAAAGGATGGACAAATGGGACTTCATAAAATTAAAAAGCTTATGCACAACAAAAGAAATGGTCTAAAACTGAAGAGACCACTCACAGAGTGGGAGAAAATATTCGCCAGCTATACATCAGAAAAGGTATAACCAGAATATACAGGGAACTTAAGAAACTAAATTCTCCCAAAACTAATGAACCAATAAAGAAATGGGCAACTGAACTAAACAGAACTTTCTCAAAAGAAGAAATTCAGATGGCCAAAAAACACATGAAAAAATGCTCACCATTTCTAGCCATAAAGGAAATGCAAATCGAAACCACACTAAGTTTGCACCTTACCCCTGTTAGAATAGACATCATCAAAAACACCACCACCAACAAGTGTTGGCAAGGATGTGGGGAAAAAGGAATCCTCTTATACTGCTGTTGGGAATGTAAGCTGGTACAACCACTCTGGAAAAAAAAAATTTGAGGCTTCTTAAAAATCTAAACATAGACCTGTCATATGATCCAGCAATCCCACTCCTGGGGATATACCCCAAAGGAATACCACACAGGTTACTCCAGAGGCACCTACACACCTATGTTTATTGCAGTGCTATTCACAATAGCCAAGTTGTGGAAACAACCAAGATGCCCCACTACTGACAAATGGATCAAGAAAATGTGGTATTTATACACAATGGAATTTTACTCAGCCATGAAGAACGAAATCTTATCATTTGTAGGTAAATGATGGAACTAGAAAACATCATTCTGAGCAAGGTTAGCAGACTCAGAAGACCAAAAATCGTATGTTTTCCCTCATATGCGGACTTTAGATCTGGGACAAATGCAGCAATGGGGTTGGACTTGGATCACATGACAAGGGGAGAGCACATACAGGAGATACAGGAATAGGTAGAAAATCTAAAACATTAAAGCATTTGATGTCCCCACTGCAGAGGAACTAATACAGAAACCTTAAAGTGACAGAGGTTAACTTGAGAAGGGGATCAGGAACTAGTGAAAAGATCAGTTAGAGATGAATCAACATGGGTTGTAACTCATGTGTACATGAAAGCAATGCTAGGAATCTTTCTGTGTAGTTATCCTCCACTCAACTAGCAAAAATGCTTTGTCTTCCTTATTGTGCTTATGTCTTTTCTTCAACAAAATTAGAGATAAGGGCAGAAGAGATTCTGCCTGGAAGTGGGGGGGGATGGAGTTGAGGAGGGGCGCAGGGGGGAGAAATGACCCATACAATGGATGCACATGTGAATAAATGAATAATAAAAAAATAAAATACTTGAAAACCAAATTCAACAACACATTAGAAAGATAACAAGACAGGAAGATATGGTCACTTTTAAATAATACTGGAAGAAGGGAATAAAAACAAAAGGGAAGGAAGCTGAGGGAGCTCACTTGGTTGCAGACTGGCTTGTACTTGAGCCCTGGCTTGTTCAGGATCATCTCCAGCTGCCTGCAGTTAAAGTTGGACACCCCGATGGACTTAACCAGTCCTGCATCCTTACACTTCTCCATGGCCTGGAAGGAAAGGGTTGCAAAAATAATTTGTACAGTTTTCTGCAGAGATGTATAAACACAAGGTCATACTATTGAAGAGAGTATTGTCAAGATATGAAAATAAAGTTGACTGGCATTGAAGAGAAAAAACTAGTAAAGAAAATAGATAAATGAAGCAAGAAAAATAATTCCCATGCTACCCTAGGAAATCAGAGAGATTGTTTTATATAGAGGGCATGATATGACTGCCATTATTTTCTCCAATTCTTCTCCTTCATTTTTCTCCATTATATTACATGAAGGCATGCTTCCCCACCTCTTAAGTAAAACAGTTTTTACAACAAACAGTAAACATCACATGCCTACATGTAGTGTTGTGACATGATTCTCCCTCTCTGGACAACCTGTGTGCTCTATAATCTAAGTACTCACCTCCCATGTGGCACAGAGATCCACTGTGTCAAACATTAATTTTCCATTCTCATCTCTTGGAAGCAAATTGTCTCCTGGCTACAATAGAAGCAATCATGAAAGCAATCTCACCAAATTCATTTCTTCACCCTTAGCAATGGAAACTAAATCTCTATGACAGATGGAACAACATGATACATACTTAAATTTACCCAGTGTTTTGCATTTGAAGTTGTAAAGCATGTCCTTGGTGACAGACTTCTATTTTATTGCATGTATTGTATGTATCACTAAGTAATACATTTCCATAATTTTATGGAGCGTTCTAGTTAATTTGTGTTAAAATTTATACCCTTGAATTTGCCCTAGGTTAAGTACCCTTATTTCACTTAGGAAGTCAGTAGTGTTATGTCTTTAATATCCAACATGCAACAGTGAATGACAACAATTGGTTATAATCTGTTGATAACAATTTGCTGCAATAATAAATTTCAATGTTGACCCAAGGTAAACAATAATATTTCAAACAGAACTCTTCATTCCTTGAGTTCATGAATAGTGCTGGTTAGGTAAGTGAAAAAAGATGGTCCATCAAGTTTTTTTCAAAATTAATTGGATGCTGAAAAGTACAAAGAAGTTACCAAATGTACATTACCTTGAGCTTTGTACTGGGATGAAAACTAAACAAACTTGTAATAAAACAAAGATAAAGAATTGATAATCAGAAACATTTCTCAAGACTACTGAAATGCCAAACCTAGCCTTGGCTTAGACTTCTCATTTACATAATCCAATCAACTCTTCCACATAAACTAGTTTGTGTAATTTCTAAAACTTAAGTAAACTAAATTTGCATATATTTATAGTAGCTGAATCCAACCAAGTAGGAAAATGGATGATGACAATGACAGCAGAAAAGAAATAGTTTTTAAAGTGCAAATTATCTACCTTCAGAGACACTGGGAAATGAATGACATAGAGGTCCAAATAGTCCAATTGAAGTTGCCTCAGTGACTTTTCCAAACTAAGTTGGACCAACTGGGGTTGATGAAAATTGCACCAAAGCTATAAAAGTTGAAAAACAGAATTAGAGCTGGATTAATAAATTATCCTAATTTGTGAGTTTACTTCAGCTAATATTGGGACATTATTTGAGAAAAACTATTCCATTTTATCCTGAATTTCTTTTCATCTGTTCCATCCATGTAAATGCTCTTTTATATTTGATTATTATAAGTAAATGTAGTGAATAATAAAAGGATATTGCTAAAATGATAAACGTGATGCTAAGTGAAAATGTTTGTTATCAGAATTATGTTTCACTGAATTTTTAAAGAAGTTTAATTTTAATGGAGGAAGAATTGGTATCTCTTTTATTTACATAATTGAAGGGAAAATATTTTAAACATTTTAGTATGTACTTTACATAACACAAGACACTTAAGTTTATATTATTTAACACAGAGTACTCTTAAAATATTCTCCCTTACTAATGATATTGAGAAAAGAAGAGGTTTTAGAAAGACACACAGGTGATGTGGAAAGTCATAATCTTCGATAGTCCATGCCAAACCACACTGCTCTTGATCTGAGACTCAAAAAAGCAATCAAACTTCACATTAAATTTATAAATTTAAAGACAGCAATGATGAGAAAACCATGATTTTTCTCTGTGTTGCATACTGAGTGTAACGTGTGTGTGAATAAAAGATGGAGCATTAAGCATAATTCACTAGTAATTACTGATTTAATCACATAAATGTCACTTCAACTTATCATATTTATTAACTTCCACACTACCTTTGAAGTGAGGAATATGTCTTCTCTCTTCACAGTGTCATCTGCAATCTTGCTTCGAATAGCCAGTCCTACTTCCTCTTCATTGTTATACAAATAAGCAGTATCAATATGACGGAACCCAGCATCTATAGCTAATTTGATGGCCTCCAAAAGCTTACTCTTAGGATCCTAGAAGAACAATAAAAAGAAGTATTTACTGATCCATGGGAATTAATTCTGGCATGGGCAGTGACCTTCACAGGTATCAAATTTTCCCTTTTTCCTGGGAAGTACATATTTTCAGTGATAAGTCCATTCATCCTTGCCTGGGCCTTTCCTACTAAATAATAGGGTAACCAATGAATGTCTTCTCTTCAGTTCCGGTCAATCATTTGTTAGTTATTGGCATAGGAAGTCCCTACAAAACCTTTAGGATTAGTAATTTGGTAGGATTCACAGGACTCAGCATATAATTATAAGCAATTAGCTGTTTTATAAGATGATATTAAAATGTCAAATTTACATATGAAAATGTGCAGAAGATGACATACAGAAGAAATTTTATATACTCTTCTAAAGTGAGTCTTCTCCCAGAGAATTCATACCAAACACATTCAATTATCTAAGCCTGAATTCAGAGACTGCATGAGAGTGTTGTTTACCATGGAAACTTTTTAGAGCCTCAATTCCTGTGACTTTCATTGTGGGCTTGTAACATAACCCCCTCAATTAACACACTAAAAAATTCCAGTCTCCCAAATGGAGACAAGTATACATAATCCCACTGTTTGTTCAAGCAGGTTATGGACAGCTGCCATCCTTGTATTATGAAATGGTGAGAAGTCATAGTTGCCAGATACTAGCCTGGGTTCAGTGTATAAATTAGAACTTCAATAGATAGCAGTGTTCTATGTTAACTGCTTTCCACACAGCCATTCTATTTGCATAACAGCAGCTAATAATAGCAGCAAGATCGACACTTAAAGGGCACACATTTATACACAAGCGTTTACTCACATCATCTCATAGAAATAAAAAGTTACTCACATAATAAAGTAGGTATTAGCCTTTAAGCCAAAGTTTCTGATTTTAGGGAAATTAGAATTAGAGTAAAATTTAAAATTTTTGTCCTGTCTACTAACTTGTGGTAAAGATTTGAAACTGCATTAGAGGATGAAAAGGTAAATCTATCATTGTTTTCTATTTATTTTAAGATTTTCTTAATCTTACTTTTTTTCAATAAAATTACAATGAACAAGATACAGCACCCTGATACTTGCGTTTACTTTCCTAAGGTGCAAGGACACTGAAGTATTAGTAACGCCCCTAATCTTTCCCTGCCCTTTTCAATATTTTACCATACAAATTTACCAATCCTGTCAGAGATTGTACCTCTGCTCTTTGGATATTTTCTTAAATCCTATGAAAAGGAGGGGTGATTCAAGTGGGAAGAAGTAATCTCTGCCACATAATTAAGTTGTCTAAACATAATAAAAGCAGACAAAGTTCCTTGTAGTCTACTGAATCCTGCAGTGGCTCACTTTCATTTCAAAGGAACTTAGCATCATTGTACTTTAAATCCAATATATATTAACACAGACCAAGTATCTAGACATTCCTGTTAGGTTTCCATTTTTCAATAATTCTAGTAAGTTTTTGAGGGTTGAGTAGCACATGGGAAATTTTATTTAGTTCACACCCACTGTTTACTATGAGATATTCAAATCAACCCCACAGCAGGGAAGCCATACCAATTCTTTAACATGTCTCTTTGATCATAAAGATTTCTCTAGAAATTGGTCTTTGTAAAAGGAGAACATATCTTGAATTATAGAAATAAAAAGAGAAACTAATCCCATCACAATCAACCTCTAAGCAAGGAAGCTCAGAGGCAGTTTTACTTTTTTTAGTTATATTTTAATATTAGTCAAACATGCAGAATAATGACAAAGAAAAATGTCTAAATGTGAATTTTTAGACATCAAAATGTTTTTTTTCTTTAAAACTAGCATCTTTTAAAAATTCTTTTTAAAGTATGCTCTATTAATTTTATTTATTAGTTTGGTTCAGTGAGATGTTTTCATACCACACATGGGAAGAAGTAATCTCTGCCACATAATAATTGTCTAAACATAATAAAAGCAGACAATTTCCTTGTAGTCTACTGAATCCTGCAGTGGCTCACTTTCATTTCAAAGGAACTTTAGCATCATTGTACTTTAAATCCAATATATATTAACACAGACCAATATCTAGACATTCCTGTTAGTTCCATTTTCAATAATCTAGTAAGTTTTGAGGGTTGTAGCACATGGGAAATTTTATTTAGTTCACACCCACTGTTTACTATGAGATATTCAATCAACCCACAGCGGAAGCCATACCAATTCTTTAACATGTCTCTTTTCAAAAGATTTCTCTAGAAATTGGTCTTTGTAAAAGGAGAACATATCTTGAATTATAGAAATAAAAAGAAAACTAATCCATCACAATCAACCTCTAAGCAAGGAATCTCAGAGCAGTTTTACTTTTTTAGTATATTTTAATATTAGTCAAACATGCAGAATAATGACAAAGAAAAATGTCTAAATGTGAATTTTTAGACATCAAAATGTTTTTTTTCTTTAAAACTAGCATCTTTTAAAAATTCTTTTTAAAGTATGCTCTATTAATTTTATTTATTAGTTTGGTTCAGTGAGATGTTTTCATACCACACATACAATGCACAGTGATCAAATCAGAGTAATTTGCATTTCCCTCTCCTTGTTGCTTCTCTATATTTGGAGTCCTTGATCTCTTCTCTTCCAGATCTTATAAAATATTTGATAGGTCATTTGCAACTATACTTATCCCTCAGTGTTGCAGAACACAAGAACTTATTCTTTCTCTGTACCATGTTTTCATGCCTGGTACCTAACTATACATCTACAGCCAACTAATTCTCCACAAAGGCACCAAAAACACACTCTAGGGAAGACAAAGGTCTTCAAACAATGATGCTGGGAATAGTGGAAATTGGGAACTCTAACTCTCATCCAGTGTAAATATGAACTCAGAAATGACAAAATCTATAACACCTTGAACCATGCAACTACTAGAAGAACACATGGAGGAATCACATCACAACATTGGTACAAGCAATAATTTCAGGTTATCTCATCAAAAGCACAGGAAAAAACAAGAATAGACAGGTGTGATTATATCAAATTTAGAAACATCTGAAGAATAAAGGAAATAATGAACAGAGTGACAAAGCAACCAACCAAATGGGAGAAAATACCAAGTACTTATATATCAAAAATTAATATCCAGAATATATAAAAAGTAAAAAACTGAACAAGCACCCACCTACCCAATTTTTAAAAGAGAAAATGATCTAAATGGATAGTTCTCCAAATAAGAAATACCAATGGCCAACAAATATATTTAAAAATAGGCTCAATATCATTAGCCTTCAGGCAGTGATCATGACGGCTAAGTTTAATCTTTTCTGCCTAATTGAGAAAGACTGAAATAGAATGATAAAAAAAGTCCCAGAATAATGGCTGACCACAAGATCAGACCCTGATGCAGAGAGCTATCTACTGTTCTCTTGTCCATGGCATAGCTGTAGCCTGGTAAAACAGAGAACCAAGTGAGCTCTGCAGTGTCACACAGGATCTCAGTGACTTGAAAACCCAGGTCAGCTTCCAATCATTTTAGGGTTTTATTTTCAGTTTTGAACCCTCCAAACCAGCATTATAGGTGTTACCTGAACTATAGCAGTGCCAAATCCCAGTACAGGGATAAAGTGACCATCATTTAGTTGCACACACTGGTGTTTGGAATTCATCACTTGTAGGTCCACTAGCTATGCAGATTCTGTTTCTTCACAGGTTGGTGAAGAAATAAATGTCATAGTTCAACTGTCTGATTAATGATTAGCCAAAGAGTAGTGGCAGAACAGAGATTAAATAGCATTGCATATATAAGGAAAGATTCTGAACTATTTCATTTATTATATATAAAAGAGAATTTTTCTTTTTTTAGAGGGAAGGAGTGGTACTGAAGTTTGAACTTAGGGCCTTGCTCTTGATAGGCAGCCCTGGAGCCATGCCTACAGCCCAGAAAGAGAGTTCTTACAAAAATTAATATATAAAGATTCAGAAACCCTTAGCTTTAGTAAATTTCCTTCTTAGAGTCTTCCATGCATTAGTTTGAATTATTATAAAAAGTTGAACTTTTACTATTTCTATACTACAAAACTCAAGATACCTATTTTTCTACTGTTTTTGTTGTTTACATTAAAGTCCCTTGTTGAATATACATTATTTGATATAATGTGAATTTTACACAACACACACAAACCTCCTTAACTTTTGCATTGGTAAAATACATACTGTATCTTCTCTCTTTGCATTTAATTAGTATATACCATTGATGGCAATGGTAAAGTATAGACAAGTACACAGTTAAAAAAAAAAAGCAGTGCGGTTTCCTGCTAAGTAGAAAATAAATGGTTAATAGCTATTGAAATAATTTTGTAATATACAGCCACAGGCTAACAGTTCATTTTATCTTTCACTTATTATATTACTCTAGAAAATATCAGTAAGAAATTATGCTAAAACACAGGACATACTCCACATGATTTATGGTCTCTTTCAACATTATTCAAAACTCAAAAACTATTCTCAAATTGCTAAAAATTTGGAGATAATTTGGCAAACTTTGAAACATTCATACAATGGAGTATATTGAAGCTGTTAAAAATGGAGCACATAAGTTTCATATTACTGAAGAATTTTACAATGCAAGATTAAGATCACTCAGTGTGTTAAGTAGGGGATATATAACCAAGTCAATGGTGTCATAAAATGAGAAAAAGCCAGTCATAATTGGCTGAGACATTAAGTATGGACCGATGACACATTGCAACTGTGCCAGAAAAATGTCCCTGCCATCAAAAGAATCTCTTTTTATTCTCTAGTCTACAGAGATATTCTCAGATAGTGCTTTCAGATAATACAAGCACAAAAACACTAGGATACATAACCCAAACTAGAGAAGGACAGTTGCTCAACTGTACTGAAGGTTTTTTGTTTTGTTTTGTTTTCTTTTTTGATGATATTGGAGTTTGAACTCCAGTTCAAGCAAATTAAACTTATTAGGCAAGTACACTACCACTTGAGCTACACCTCCAATCCTTTTTATTTTATGTTATTTTTCTAACCAAGATCCTACTACCTATACCTCTCACATAGATGGGATTTTAGGTTCACTCCACCATGCCTTGCTTATCTGCTGAGATAAGGTCTTAGTAACTTTTCGCCTGGGCTGACCTCAAAGCACAATATTCTGACACAATAACTCCCAAGAAGCTGGGATTACATTTGTGAGTCATTGTGCCTGGTCTTAAAGTTTTAGTATTTCTTTTATCTTATTTGATCAAGAGCTCTTGGAGGTGCTCCAGAAAGACTGGTCATCGATAGACCTGTAATAAGAAAAGTGACAAAGTCCATAATCAATAACTATGATATATTGTAAGAACATTTTTAAATGTCACAATGTACCCCCAGTTCAAAAATAATATGATAATAAAAAAAATGAACTTCCCAACACAGAAAACACCTAAACCAGAGAGTTTTGCTGGTGAATTCTAACAAATACTTAAAGAAGAATTGGAACCAATGCCTCCCAAACTCTTCCAAAAAAATCTGAGAAGCAAACAGACTCCTAACTTATCCTATGAGAATGAAGATTGCTCTGATACTAAAGGCAGACATAGACTCTATAAGAAAATGAAAACTACACAACAATATTCTTTAGGAATATTGATGTGAAAATATTTATCAAAGTACTTATGCACCAAATTAAGGCACCAAAGGAAGCACTTGAACATAAGATAAAATGAGGTTTATTTGCAGAATCCAAATATAACTCAGCATTCAAAGTACAAGCAGTACAGCATATCACATTAACAGAATGAGGGTAAAAGAACACATAGTCTTCTCAATGAATGCAGAAAAATATTTGTTAAAATTTCTTCTTGAAGGTCTATCAGGTTTTGTTTAAAAGATAAGGTTATATAATATTTATACATAAAATAATTAAATCTAACATTATATATGCCCCCTTCTAATTTAAATGATGAAGCAACTGAGAAGAGACTGTGTGTTGTAGAATGTGTTTGCTTAAGTCTCAGCTGTAGAACATGGATTAATGGAGTGTAGTTGCAATGACAGGCAAATGTGACCACAAGAGTAAATAATAGTGACAGCATAAGTGTTAGAAAGTATGGCAAAGTTCTGAACAAATGGATTTTTGAAAAAAATGTTTGTAAAACTTGCCACGAAATACCTTACGATACTTTGCAGTTAATATTGTGAGAATGGTTTTGGATATGAAAGTAGTCATGTTACAGACATTTCTGGGGTGGGAGTTGGTAGCTCTAGGAAAATAGCACTTAGCTTGTATTTATCAGTCGGTGTTTTATCAGCCTTTCAAAGAACAAGTAAACACATGTCATGAGTCTGGACTGTGAGGCATGAATGAGAAGGGTGAACGAGAAGGACTCCCTCCTAGTAGCACAAGGACAAAAACTGGGAAATGAGGCCTCCTTGTGAGAGGGTAATCAAGGAAGTGAGAGGATGACCACCCTGCAATGATCATGAGGAGTCAGAATTGGGGAGACTGAAGAGGAGGGTATTAAACATGTCAATGTTTAGGAACTCATGGAAGATACTATTTTGATAAGTATATTATTCAGATAAAAGATAATTTTTCACATATTGTACCCTATAACCAGTGCTCTATGTCAGATAGGAATCACCAATGTGTGCCCAATAACTATACTGACTGAGATCAGGAAGATCACAGTTGAGAATAGACTGGATAAATTGTTTGCAAGATTCTATCTCCAAAATAACCAGAACAAAATGGACTGATAGGTGTGGCTCAAGTGGTAGAGCACCTGCTTTGCAAGCATGAAGTCTGAGTTCGAACTCCAGTCCACCAAAACAAAAAAAAAAAAGAGAAAGACATATGGAAACGTGACTGAAGTATAGGTAGAAGAGAACGAAGAACAGGAGAGGAGACTGAGGAACCTCTACTGCCTGCAGACAGGCTTGTACTTGAACTTGTTCAGCATCATCTCCAGATGCCTGTAGTTAAAGTTGGACACCCCAGGGGACTTGGTCAATACTGCATGCTTATACTCTTCCATGGCATTGGAATAAAAAAGGTTGTGAAGAATAATTTATATAGCTAATTATAGATCAGTAAAAATACAAGGTTGAATTGTTAAATGGAACACTACCAATAAATGAAAGTGAAGCTGACTAACATTGATGGTAAAAAGAGGAAAAAATAGTAAAAACAATAGGGGAAAAAGACAGTAGGGGCTTTCTCTCCTCACCTTACAAAATCTGAAAATTATTGCATATAAAGGATATGTTCTGCCTGGAAGTGAGGGGGGTGGTAGGGAGAGGAAGGGGTTGGGGGGCAGGAGGGAGAATCACCCAAACAATGTATGCACATGTGAATATATAAAAAAAAGAGTTGACTTGCATCATTTTTCCCAATTCTTCTCCTTCATTTTTTTCTATTATATAACAGTAATGCAGCTATCCTTCTATTACATTATAGTAACACATTCCTCTCACCACTCATTCAAAATTGCCCTTAGAATAATCAGTACACATTTAATTCTTTCCCTTTCTCAGTCTCCCCTGTGGTCTCCATTTTAAGTACTCACCTTCTATGTGATACAGAAATCCACTGCATGAGATACTGATTTTCCATGCTCATTTTTTTGTACTATGTCCTCCTGTAATAGAAGCAATCACTAAAGCAGTCTCACCAAATTAATTTCTCCATTCATGTCAATTCTAGACAAATCTAGGAGTGGGAATGAAACCTCCATAAGAAAGATGGATTAATATTTTACATACATACATTTGCCAATTGTTTTGTATGTGGATGTGTTGTAAGCCAGTGTTTAGATGGCGGGTGTCTTCTACTTTCTTACATTTATTATATGTGTTAATAAATAACATGTTCCCAGGTTCTTTTAGGATCTCCTAGATGACTTCTCTTACTTTTCATGCCCCTGAGTTTTCCCAAGAAGAAATTCTTCTCTTTCACTGAGCAAGTACTGTTACATGGTCTTGATCTCTATGAATAATGAACTGTAGTCTCAGCCAAGGTTAAATAATTGCTATTGAAATCAATGCTCTTCATATCCAAGAAAACATGAGTATTCTCAAGTGAGGAAAGTAAACAAAAGATGACCAATCAAAACTGCTTTCAAGGTCAATTCTATGCTGGCATATCTCGGGAAGGTATTAAACGCTAATGACAGGGAGCTTTGCACTACATCAAGGCCTTTTGTCATTAATGCAAATGGCTAGGACAAAAACTAAGCAAGCCTCTAATTACTCAGAAACAAGGCATTGGTAAACAGATCCAATGACAGCTATGTTAAATAGGTTCAGTGATGCAAATTACAACCTTCTAAACCATTGGGAAAGGAATAAGATAGAGGTCAACATAGTCCAAAGTTTTTTCAGTGATGTTTGTAAGTGACATTTGAGAAATTTTGGAAGATTGAAAGTGAACCAAAGCTACAGATATTAAAAAAAATAAAATCATCCTGGATTAATAAATTGTCCAAATTGTGAGCTTATTTCACCTGTTATTGAGATTTTAACAATTGGTTAGAAACCAATGACTATAGGGATGAAATACTCTGTTCCATCCTTTGAGCTGACTTATCCATGTAAGATCTGCCTTATGTTTCATTATTATTGTAAAAATAGGGAAGAATGGAAGTAAATAACTCATAGATAAAAA